GCTGGTGACATATGGCTGTCAGAGTTCATTGGTGATTCACCATGCAGAGGCCGTGCAGGTGAAAACCACAACTTTAAATTGAATTTTGAATTTGACGGGGAGCCAGTGCAGTGACATTAGTGGAGGTGTGACATGGGAGGTAATCTAAGGAGCTTGGAAATAAAAAGCAACTGGACTTGTCAAGTTTCTTGAATAAATTTCACCTCTTATCCGAGAGGCTTCATCAGAGTCCCAGATATTTGAGCCCTAGCAGGAGTTGTCTGTTAAGAGAGTCGTTGACCCACTATTGATCATGTTCCTCATCACATGAGCTGACATGTGAAAAAGGGTGTGGCTCTTTAGATGACCAGGACCTGGATGACTGAGAACCTGCACAGACATCCAGGGAGGTTTTATTGTGACAAGTTAAAATTGAGTTACAGCAATCAATGCAAGATGAAATAAAACCATGAATAACAATCTCAGATTTTGATGCAATAAGTCAGAGTTTACTGATGTTTCTCCAATGATTAAAACAGGAACCAAAGCTCTGTCCTGCAAATCCAATAATAAAATGAAAATGATCTGATATCCAAGACTGTATGCAGACCAAACAGTTTTGTATATTTTTCAACTTCAGAAACAATTTTAGGTTTAAAAATTGATGTAAAATCACCATCATAACAACCACAAAACTAAGAGCGATCATGGCCACAGGTCTGTGTGTTGTTGCTTTTTTAATTTTGCACTTGGCTTTGTGTTATAGGAAATATTGAAAAAGCAGTTATTTTGATTGTTGTCGCTTGAACTCGCTGAATATCGTTGATCTTCTATAGCCTCCGGTCACTTCTAATAGCGTCCTTTGTGGGCTGCTCTTAAGGTTTATAATGTAAACGTATTATTTTACAAAGTATCCCAGGCCATGCTGTGGAATAACACAAACACAACTTAACAAGCAACATAAGTAACAGATATTGTACATTCCGTTCTTTTATTTTATTTTTGGAGTTACAATCCAAACGCTCGGTTTAACTCCACGGATCCAAACAATCCAACCTTGTTCTGAAAAATCAGAAGTTTAACAATTTGATGATGTTATAGTGTTAATCCGCACACAGAGAAAATGGTAAGCTTTGGAAAACTGTAATGATGTTAATATTCTTCAGTCAAATTCTTTATATGACTCAGATTAAACCCAGGAATTCTTTGACTGGGTCACTGCAGTGCTATCTTAGTTACACATTTAAGACTGTTCGAATAAACCTGCAACATATTGCACATTTGCCCATTCCCTGTGTGATCACTGTTAATAATGTTGACATGGACATGATGAAACCAGACTGTGACAGCTCCAAGCATTATCACGTTACTGCTTCCCCTCACTTGACCTCACCATGTTTCCTGTCTGTTACTTGTCATTTAACACTAAACTGCATTGATGGGGTAAAATCCTACAGACTACACAAGCAAGGCCAAGTATGTTCAGGTTGCTTTAGAATTTATCTTCAGTCTTTGACGGCACAAACCAGCGTGACATTTCCCTTCAGCATTTACGCAGTTCACATTTACTGCATGTGAACCACGAATTGTCATTGCTCTTGTGAGTCACAGGGAACTCACAAGGTGGTGGTAACTGAGTTTTTAGCTGTTTAAATTTGTCCAAAGAACAAAGGCTTTAAAGACCTTTGTGTTGTTGGAGGTCTGTTGGGCCATCTCCTACCGTCTAAAACAAACCTACTGTATATTTAAGAGAGGAGACAGGTGGAACAAGCACAAAGAAAAAGCCAGCGAGTCAGCAGTTCTCCTCCACTTTCAACAACATACAGGTGTACTCGGTGAGTAAATGTTAGCCAAAAAGTACAGAGGCTATCTCGAAACAGCTGACTACAAAGTGTTTCTGTATTAAAGGCCAGTATATTTTCCATCAAGACTTTCATCAGGACTTGATTAGAAGAACTTTTTTTTTATTTAAGTGCCCCACAAAAGCCCCCCTTTTCAGTTGAGCTTTCACTTTCATCTGTACTGACTTAAAAGCATATTGATATTCATTATGGACCAGCAGATGGAAAATGTCACATTTCCTTTCCCTTGTTATGGTCATTAACAGTCTGTCAATTGATCCAGAGTGTTTGAATCTCCCCCAGAAATATCTCACCATTTATATGGCTCCATTCTTGTCCTTTGTCAGCAGTACTTCAAAAGAAACACCAGAGTGGAGAAAAAAGTGATGGTACTTTCTAGACAGGAAGCAATTGAGTTGCAAATTTCCATTTTGTTATATACAAAAGAATGAAAAGGAATCTAAGTGTAAATTAGGGTTAGTTAATCTTAAAAGAAAACAATACTTTCTGACTGATTCTGATAAAGTTCTGACTTTTTCCTGCTCCAGTACATCGATGACAACCTTCCTCCTGAGTCCCCTTATTTGTATGGCCTTCATCCCAATGCTGAGATTGGCTTCCTTACACAAACCTCGGAGACACTTTTCCGCACTGTCCTGGAAATGCAGCCGAGGGACAGAGGAGTGGGTGAGGGAAGCGGGACGACGCGTGAAGAGAAGGTAAATGCTTCATTTGTTTTTTACAGTTTAGTGAGATGGGCAAAGTTTGCAAAGTACCTTTGTATTTAAATGTAGTTATTAGTAATTAGGTTGCATTGGGAACCATAAGATAGTGCTCTGAAAATACACTGTCCGTCATGGTCCTGGGTCGGTGACCCAGCGCTTTAAGTTTATTATTATCATTTTCTAGTTTATTATTATGATGATTATTATTGTTTGAGTTCTCTTCGGTCCGCCTCTGAGTCTGCGTCTGTATCTCTGTCTGTCTATGGTGTCACCCGTCTGTTTGTGATCTGTCTGTTCAGTTCAGCGTCTTGTCTGGTTCCCCGTGTCTGAGTTTCCTGTTTTATTGTGAAGGTCTGTGTCTTATGTGAGTGTGCTCAGTTTACGTTTCCCCTGTCTCGTCAGCTGTGATTTCTCCCAGGTGTGTTCCCCTCCTGTCTCTCATCCCTTGATTACTGCCGTCTGTGTATTTAAGCACAGACGGCAGTAATCAACCAACACCAACCAACAACCAACACCAACACCAGTTGGCCCCTCTGGCGCAATATGGCAGCCTCGCTTCTGTCAGTCTGCCCCAGGGCAGCTGTGGCTGCAACTGTAGCCTCCACCAGTGTGCGAATGTGAGAGCGAATGAGTAGTGGCATTGTAAAGCGCTTTGAGTGCCTTGAAAAGCGCTATATAAATCCAATCCATTATTATTATTATTATTATTCAGCCCTGTGTTTCTCTGTGTCAGTGTCGCGTCGTTCACCCTCAACTAGCTGTGTGTTCTGCTTCCATGTTTCTAGTGTTTAGTCTCCTGCTCCAGTTTAGTGTTTCTTTTCTAGTGTTTCAGTTCCTCAGTTACGACCTTTGTTTGTCTTTTAGTGAGTTTATTTAGTACGAGGTTTCTCCCAGCAATAAAGCTGCGCTTTAAGTCTCACTTCCGTGTCTGAGTTCTGCATTTTGGGTCCACCACTCCTGCTTGCCTGCCTGCCACACAGCCAACCATGACACTGTCAGCTTGAGGCATCGCAGTCCTATCGAACCATCGGCAAATTAAGCTAATAAATAAAAGTCAAGGACTGTCACTAGTGAGCTCTAATTACAGCGTGTCTAAGAATCCATTTGTGTAGTACATAGATTTTATGCAAAGATCATCACCCATTGGTTTTAACTGGGCTGAACTGAACTCTTGAGAACCCCTCTACAGTTGATCCCATCTTTATCTTTAGGCTCAATATCTATCAAATGATTAAAATTATTTTTTTCAAAATGACCACTAGCATACAGATCATAAAGAGTGGATTTATCTAATAGTTACTGACCTCATGTCTGGATCCATCCATCCACTTATCCAATTCAGCGCCATGGGAGGGCTGGAACCTATCCCAGCTGCCATAGGGTAAGAGGCAGGGTGCACTCTTAACTGTCAAAGGGCTAACACAGAGGCACAGACGACCTTTCACACCTATGGTCCATTTAAAATCCCCAACGAACCCAAACTCACGTGTCTTTGGACTGTGGGAGGAAGCCAGAGCACCTGGACAGAACCCACAGAGGCACGGGGAGAACATGCAAACTCCACACAGAAAGGCCTCAGCATTCAAACCCAGGAGCTTCTTGCTGTCAGGCAACAGTGTGAAGATGTCATAGGGTAAAAAACATTTGGTGAGATGTTGTGTTTTGTCAGAACCGAGCGAAAAACAGCTCTGGTGCTGAAAAATGAAGCTAAACATAAAGTGACAAATTTCAGATACTTTAATGGTTACTTGAGTCTAAGGCTCTGAAAGTGAGTCAGTCCCAGAATTTTATAAGCTGGTGCAAAAAATAGGCTTTGATTGTATAGATAACATACAACCTAAACCTGTATCAACTGTATGGTGGTTTATTTGTGAATTGGTTTTTTTTAAATTAATAACTCGTCCATTTGGTTTTATTGTTAAAGGCTGTGTTGTGTTTCTATAGCATTTTAGTGGATTTTCCTAACAAATAATATGCCTCGTGTCTTGTACCGTCCTTAGACGTTTCTGCCCATGTGACCACTATTATATAATATAATATATGACATAATAAGAAATGGGGAAACCAAGTTTTCCACATGCAGAAACAATATTTCAGGAAATGTAGATCTAAGTTTACGATATTTTATATTTATTGTATGTAAATAGAATGATCCCATTAATAAAAATATTAGTTCATTGAAAACATTTAAATGAAACCACCAAACAGGGGTCCTGAGGTCACCCACAGCATGAGCTCATCCCCTCACAGAAAAAGGGGCTCCGCTGTTTATCATCTCTTGAGACGTGACCAGATACTCTGAAAAGCCAGAAATCTCATAGTAATAAAATATTATTTGCAGTAGCAGTAAGATTGTATTTCATTTGAACTATAGGAGCTGGCAACACCCAAGAAAAACCAGACCAATGTATTTGTCTTGAAAATGAAACATCCTGCCTCTACTTTCCCAAAGCTGATGTGTTCTGATTCTTTGCCAACTGATAATCATATCTGATAAACTAACCAGCACCATTTTTCTTGCAGTAAGATATGAAATAGTTGCAAATTAATTTTGTGATGATTAACTAGTTGAATAATGGAGTAATAAATTGAGCTCTGATGGGGAAGTACTTTAGGCTGTATAAAATCTCTTTAATTGGCACAGAAGGACTTGCAGAACGATTTGAGAAGATTTGATCTGATCAGCATGTTTTTTCCTACTTGCTGATTAATGCTCTCACATTTTCAGGAGTTTCTTACTATACTTATTGCTTAGTTTGACTTGCTTTAACTTCCTCCAAAGATTTTCTTTACTTTTGTCATTTCTCCTGATCTTCTGCCAAAAATTGATGTTCTTAGTCTGAACTGACAGACTCATTTTCACCTGGTATTACTTTTGATTTTAAAATTAGGAATCAGCCTGGATCTGTTCTGTGATGACCTTTGTGATCAGGGCAGGGAGGAAGGAATACACATATTAATAAACTCTAGGGACCTGTACTAACAAGGTCAACATACCAAACATACCCAAGATATCCATTATTTTTCTTCAATTACATAATATTGCACTGACATCAGGCTAAGCGGGCACAAGAAGATGGTGTTCAGCCAGATAGGCCAACCACGAGTTTTCATGTCTATCTGTGAGTACATTTACATGAAACGGGGGGTATTGTGGGTATTTGATCAATCAGAAAAATGGGCAGGTGTGCTGGCAAGGGAGTGATGTAAAAAATAATTATAAAAACTATGCTGTGAAAAGATAAAGAAGTTACACACAAGCTGAAAGCAACTCAAACAGCAGAGTGTGACTGTGTGTAAGAGGAAAAGACTGTACAACCAGAGATGGGCAGTAACGCGTTACAAGTAACGTGTAAAAAAGTACAAGTAACGAAAAAAAACCCTAAACAAGCACCGAGTGTGCAACGACGTAATGGGAAACTCACAGAGAAACTCGCGGATTCTTCCACTGACCGCAGCGGCACACCTGCACCAGGGTAAACCTCCGCCTACCCCACTCCTGCTTTACAGGTGAAAATAGAGCAACAGGACCGCTAGTCTTTGACTTTATTTATTTTCTGCTGTGTTTTACTTGCATCTATTTGAAAGACTGAGTGTAAACACAAAAAATATTTTATTTTATGTGCTGGAATGTGCAGAAAATAGGTTTAAATGTTAAACAAATTTCTTCCAGTCAGAGAATGTTGCATATAATTAAATTTTTGCTTGATGCATAAAGTTAAAAGATTAAAACTAATAAAACAAGTTTTAAAAAGAGACTTTTCCATTTGATTACATTTTGTATGATGGATTATGCAGAAAAAGTAGAATTGGGCTGAAAGATCTATCGCTTTATCACCTATTCAGGTTGTAAATCGTGTTTTTAAAAAGTAACTAAGTAACTAATTACTTTTGAAAATAAGTAATCAGTAAAGTAACGGGATTACGTTTGGGGGAAGTAATCAGTAATTAGTTACTGATTACTTTTTCAAGTAACTTGACCAACACTGTGTACAATATTTTAATATTGAAAGCTTTAAACGACAGAGTTAGCCTTCAAGTTTTGCTCAAATCCTGCTTCAAACTACAGCGCTCTGCTGTCTGTCAGAAAGTGTCCGTACATATAAACATCATATACATATATTCAGCTAAATATTAACAGACCCTCATGAGGTGAGGAGGATCGTTGGAGTGGTGGTGGTTGAGCCCAAAACTACATGGGAGAAGCTTGTTAATGATCTGAGGGCACTTTGGAGCACAGTCATCAAGAACATAACTGGTTTAATGCAGCGATTCCCAACCCCTGGACCATGGACTGGTACCAGTCCGTGAGTTGCTTGGTGCCACTCGAGTGTGAAATTTATAGTTTTCAGGGTTTTTATCGTTAACTCAGTTTCTCTTGGTCTTTGTAGTTTTGTGTTTTATTTTGAAAGAAATATTTAAACGTTACCATAGCAACCAGAGAGCATTAAGGGGCGGAGAGGAGGATGTCACTCTCAATGTTGTTGGCGCATTTCAGGAGGACGCTGCTAATAAAGTTGCACAGTTACACAGTGAATTTGCGTTTATTATTACATTTACAAAATACCACTGTTTTTGTCTTGTCATTTTATTTTGTTGTATTTATCTGCGACATTTTAAAGGCCAGTCCGTAAAAATATTGGTATTAAACCAGTTGGTGGTGCAAAGAAGGTTGGGGACCGCTGCCTTAATGGATCGGGCAATGTACTGCGAAATCTTGGATGAGAACCTTCTTTGCTGAGCCAAAATACTGAATATGCCTTGTGCATGTGTAACCCGTTTGTGTGTGTTATGCCTATTGATGTGTTGTGGTCTGGCGAATGAATAAGAGGCAGGAGACAGCACTGGATCTCTGCGCTCTTTACTGCAAATTGCTGTAACATCTGCAATCTCCCGCGATGCTGAAAGAAGCTGTGACTGGGGTACACATGCACGCACCTACGTCATCACGCAGCAAACACACAAACACACACAGGCTCGAAACACATAGACAG